TTATGCAAGCTAAATAATGCCTTACAGTTAAGTAGTGCAGTCTTATTTTACTCCAAGAGATAGCTATCGGCTTTCTTTTTTACCCTCTTTACCTAAAGAGCTCATCTGTATAACTGTTTCTGTCCTTAGGCAGAGCCACATGTGGAGCTAGTCTATAATTATTTTCTCTGTCATAGAAAGTATTCCTGGCTCAGTGCTTCTGTTTTCCTTTTGTGTGTCTGTTCTGTTTTTCTAAAACTCCCAGTTGGATGTGGCAGAAGGCCATTCACATTGAGCCTGGGTCTGCCGGAGTTTTTTTTTAGTTAATACAGGAGAAATATTTTTCTCTCCGTTGTAGCAACATGTGTGCTTGGAATTAGGGAATGCTGCAGAGTCAACCATTCAGTGTAAGCCACTGTCTGCTGTCGATATATGCTCATCCAGGAGGGGGGAGTCCTGCAAAGTCAATGACTCGATGCAATCAGCTGGATTTCCTTATAAAAAATGTTAACCAATCTGTCTGTATGATTTGATTGCATTGCCTCTGGCAAGTGCTTTGAGACGTGTTGCAAATTGGTGATACATAAATACAATTGAATTGAATTCTAGATGAGGGTGAAATTGCCTCAGAATTTAACTCAGTGAGGAATCAGAATAGTCAAAAGTAAATAAAATAACCTTTTTAAAATGGCATCCCTGACCAAAATCTTCTCATGCACCTAAATAAGCTAAGGAAGTTAACACTGGTTGAAACGGTAAGATGTGAAATTAAAAAGTTGACCGGTTTGAACTTTTGAAAAGTGATTCATCTTACACTTAAAAATTTACAGTATATTTGATAAAAAACTTTACACTCTGCTGTATGTGGATTTCTTTTCTTTCTACTGACAGAGGAGTGAAAAAGGCAGCAGGAAGTCAGGATTTGGACCAAATCCTGCTGAGCACCACAAAGCTTGTTTTGTTGGCATGGTGAGATAGCACACGGTTGGACATGCAGCGTTTTTAATTGTCCAATTGCAAACTTGTTATACTTTTTTCCAACTGTGTCAATGCAGGTGCATAGATTATAAAGAGAAAGTAATTTAGGCCTAGATTGGTGCAGATTCTTGAAATCAAATACTGCATTAATGCATTTATAGAATAAGAAAAAATATGTAAGAAAATTTGAAGTTGTTGATGTTTTTCAGTATTGCAAACAAAAAGTGTATTTTATTGGAATATATTTGTGATAATCCAACACAGAGTAATTCATAAATATGGAGTTGAAGCAAATAAGTGGTGGTTTTAAATTTATTTTTAGAAATAGAAAGGAGTGAAGTGTTTATTTTCACACCTTTTTATATCAATATTTCAAGTACAATTAGTTACTTTCAGAATCTACTAATAAGCAAACAGAGACAACATGTGGGAATTTCATCTCAGAAGAAGGATATATTGTAGAACATTAGAGAACATACAGCATCATGACGACCAGGAAGCGCAGCAGGTCAGGGATGAAGTTGTAAAGTTGTTTGAATCACAGTTAAATTATAGACCACTTTATCAAACTGTTATCATCTCATAAGGCATTTTTCAATTAATCACCTAAAAAACTAAAAGAGTAGCACAACTGCAAGCCTATTAAGACTTGTTGGCTCATTGAGAGCATGACTCACTGGAGCATTTTTCTACAAACGTAGAGAAGAAGGAGCTCTGGTGAGAAGACATTTTGGGGGTTAAGCTTAGGAAAATTCTACATGTAATGAAAATCTAACAGTAAATCATGGTGGGATTATAATGCCATGAGAGTATTTTCTTACGCCAGTGACAGGGAAGCTGGTAGAGTTAAGGGTAAGATGGACTGAGATAAATGAAGAGCAACAATGCATAATATATTCATGCGTAATAAACAGATTTCATTGTTTAACTTTGAAATCTCTATAAATGCTCAAAGAATTATCTGTTTATCTAAAGAAGATAAACAGATAAAATAAAAATTCAAACTTAGACCACTGGTGAGTTGTGATAGGGCACCCCTTGTTGTACTTGAGGGCCCCCCGGTGCCTGCGGGCATCACGTTGGTGACCCCTGTACTAGAGGCTGGGAAAAAAACTCCCTGTGAAGTGGAGGTTAACCTTCCTTTAGGGTGATGGCGCTACACAGACAGCCAGAGCTTAGCACATGTCATTAGAAGAGCCCAGTCAAAGTCCAGAGATATATTCAGCTGAGAAGCTGTGCAGTATTTAAAAAAAGATGTTCCCTGGCAGTCTCCGCTTAGTATGACTAAGCTTGAGCTACTTTCCAAATCTTTTTGAAAAGCTGTCAGAGTCATAGTCCAAAAGACTTGCAGTTGTATTTGCAACAAAGGCTCTGAAGGAGATGGATGAGGATGCCCTTCACAATAATCAGGGAATCTTTTTGAAAAAAAAAAAAAAAAAAGAAATAGTTAAGCACAACTATGTCCTACTTTATACTAGTATGAGTTTGGAGTTAAGCAACATAACGCTAAAGTCTGGAGCATAAATCCTCTTGGAAAGCAATGCAAATCCATCTTTGAGTGATGAACACCTTTAAACTTCTTAGGTGTCTTCTCCAGTGGAAAAGGACCAAACCATAATGTGCTGAAGACAATGTCTCTGACCATTAGTTCTTGGCTATTGTCAAGGCTCCATTACAAAAATGTATTTTAAATTACTACCCTCCCCCAAAAAAAAAAAAAAGAAAAATCATTAAAAAAACCACATCCTGAGGACTCAGAGAAATTCCCACATCCATCAAACGATGCATTCTCTATGAGCACGACTGCAAACGTGTTCATGCAGAGAGCTCATCCCCTCTGTTTATATGTGCAGAGTACACGTTCTCACACACTTACACTCCCAGCCCCCTATGCTTTCGCATTTTATAAACATGAAGAGAAACGCTGCACACAGTTCAATTTAAGTATACATTGGGCTCATCAGGATGAAGCGCTGCTATACTGACTGAAATCTCCCAGAGGGACCATTTAGTTTTGTGCGGTTTGCCCGCTTGACTGTCAAAAAGGAATCAATTTACATATAACTCCTCTGCAGGGGAGCTATACGTTCTTTGAATTCACTGAACAGTTAAAGATTGCTGTTTTTTTTTCAGAATTTAAAAGAGGAAGCATAAAGAAAGGGATAGAAAAAGACCAGTTGATCAGGTTCAGGTTTGACAGGGTCCCTATTTACCTACTGATGAACAACACAAAGCGGCAAATGAACCATAACGTCTTTGAGTTACATCATCAAAGCTGAATCATTAAGTCCTTCTATCTAAGCCTTCAAAGGGGAAGATAAAAAAAAACAAACAAATGTCATTAAACTTAGAGAAATATTAAATAAAAAGACCTTCATCTAATCATAAACAGGATTAATCCGGGAACCAAAACAACATTTGCACATGTTCTTTTCAGGCTCATTAAGTGCTAAACACCTAGTTAGGCTATCAAAAAGGTCAGATTAAACAAACCGGCAAGTCTGCAGTTCTCCTTTCGAGACAGCAGCTCCCTGCAGGAGAGGACGCTATACTTCACTTTCTATGAGCCTTAACCTACTGGGTGGCAGTAAAACCCAGTTCAAGTTTTCAGTACAAATTTTAAGGTATTATGGGTACATTTCAACTGTGAAGAGGTCATTTTCAGGTGAAGCTGATTTAAGGAGAAACAGCCCAACAATTTGATGCTACCACCACCATGTTCGGCCATCAGTTCAGCATTTTGTTCTGGTTTTCTGGCTGTGATTCATTTCTTAATCAAAGTCCCTAGAATTCCATCAGAGTTATTATTGGATCTTTTGCAGGAACATAATGCTAGCAGGCATGCCATTTATGTTTACAAGGTCCAAAGCGAGTTTTCTTATCCAAAGAATGCTGTACCAACTGTAAAGCATGGTGGTGGCAGCATCATACTGTGGGACTATTTAAACACCACAGAATGTTGTCAAAACTTTCCATTTGCTTGAATTTGCCTCACATTTAAATGGTTGAAACAGGGTCACAACTGGGTTCTCCATTCAAACATTGATCCCAGGATAATAAAAATAAAAAAATCCTTCCTGGAGTGTAACCTACTTCAACACAAAACATATTTTAAAATCAGAATGAGCTTTATTTGACAAGGAATTTAACTTGAGTTTAAACTGCTCATAGCATACGGCTATTAGCTACACACCTGTAAGCAATACGTATGGTATTTTTTTTTTTATAGGCTATGCCTAAAAACCCATAACCCAGCCAGGAGATCAATACATATAAATAAACTCATCCATTTCTGCAAAGTAGAGAGGGTTAAAAGTTACAGCCAGAATGATGTCAATCATCTGCCAAAGGTATCAAAAACTAATGCTGGCTAAGGACCAATTAACGAAATGATGCAAGGGTTGAACAAATGTAAAATAATTATCATCTTCTTGCCCAAATCCAAATAATTCCAGTTTTTGGTTGAATAATCAAGTGATCCCCAAAAAAAGCTGTTTAAATCAATAGTTAGAAATGTGAAATAACTAAAAGTAAACCTCCCACCAGAACAGAATGCCTCATTTTTGACTTCCACAAAACTAATGCTGTCTCTTCATCTTCTGTACTCTGTCCTTTTCTCCATCTCCTCAAACCCCCAGCGTGTGTTTTAAAGTGTTTGAACAAACCCTTTTAAAAGCAGAAGATTCAAAATGATATGAAATCATCAATCGTTCCTTTGGGTTTTTTTTAAACCATCTCAGACAAAATGAGCTTTATTTATTCTTTAGAGTCTGCATTTTTACCACAAGTCCACCAGCATCATCTTTTTGTAATCATTATCACCATATTATACAAAATAGCACAATACTGTTTCCATAAAAAACAAAAATAGACAAATACCCAGACAAATCATTTAGTACAACATACAAATTCAATACATATCCATAACTTCACTATGTTTGCCTCTTTAAAAAAGGCAGATACAATAAAAAATATGATCTTACTGTGGTTTTCTCTGTGATCTCCATCTTTTTGTTAAAGCTGCGATGGGTGGAGGCATTGCACATAAACACCTTCCTGAGTGATCACACACTGCAGGTTCATGCACAATGGGCATACTGTTTTACAATGAATGCACTATATATTAGATACACAGATACCAAGCTGGAGTCATACGTATCTCCTGGTGTCCCTCTTGCACAGTATCTTTTTGAAGGACCTCCTGAAGTCGTTGTTGAAAACGGTGTAAATCAGAGGGTTCAAAGCACTGTTGCAGTAGCCGAACCAGAAGAAGAACTTGAACAAGGTGGAAGGCACGTTGCAGGACACGCAGAGAGTCTGCAGCATATACGTAAAGAAAAAGGGAAACCAACAAATGACAAAGACACCAATGACCACAGCCAGGACGAAGGTGAACCGTTTCTCACGGTTTTGCCGGCCTTTCCAGAGGCTGCCTTTGGTGTTCGGTTCTTGCTTTTGGACGTTGGAGTCCCCTGGTTTGATTTGTCTTAATTTTGGTTTCCCCTTGTTTGTTTTCTTTCTAATGGAGCATGGATTGTTCACTTTATGGTCAGAAGATGATGACTCCTCAAGGTCCACTCCATTGACCTCACCTTTGACCTCCTCTGCCTTCTTTTGTCCTCCCGCTCCCTCCTGCAGCTCTATGGCTTGCTCACCATTTAACTTCTTGTGACAGAGCCGATCCTTGACATCCTCTGCACCATTCTCCTTCTGGTTTGCAACAGGAGTGCTGGGTGGCTTCAACAAAGCATTTGGCCTCCGGTCTCCAGGTGGCGCCCGTGTCCTTTTTTTAGCAATTTGGTAGATCCGTACGTAGACCAGCACCATGATGACGCACGGAAGGAAGAAGGAGCCGATGCAGGAGGAGATAACGTACCATTTTTCTGTATTAATCTTACATGCAGGGAATTTCTCACTGTTGTCTTTCCCCATGGTGATCAGGGGTGGGAAGGAGATAACTGCAGCGATGACCCAAACAATGAAGATGATGCACTTAATGCGGCGTGGCGTCCTCTTCAGGTTGTACTCAATGGCCTGTGTGATGGACCAGTATCGGTCTAAGCTGATCGCACAAAGATGGGCAATGGAGGCGGTGCAGAAGAGCACATCAAGTGCTAGGTAAATCTCACACCATACCTCGCCGAAGTACCAGTATCCCATTAGTTCGTTTGCCAAGGAGAAGGGCATCACAAGGGTGGCCACCAGAATGTCCGCAGAGGCCAGGGACACCAAGAATAAGTTCTGCGGGGCTCTCAAGGCCCGGCTTGTAAACACAGCAATGACCACCAGGACATTACCAAACACTATGATTAGGATCATGAAGCCAACCAGCAGGCTTAATGGCAGAGCTATCTGTAGGCTGTAAGGAGCCAAGCTGGAGAAGTTCTGGAAGGTATTATTGTCATCTTCCATGATAGCAGATTGGCCCACTTCCTGTGAGAGTTCACCTGAGGTTAACAGATATCATCCGCCAGGAAGAAGAGAACTAGTGGCTCACAGCAGAGCTAAGAGAGGAAGAGACTGAATAACTCCTCTGAGACTTTCCCGGATTTTTCCTCCTCATTGTGAGGGATATTTTTCAAGATGCCGCTTTATCTGAAAACATAATAAAAAGGAAAACAAATGTCATCAATTTCTAATTAAAAATTCCTCATCTTTTTCCGCAGGGCTTCTAATATGTTGATCTCAGTTGGTATGTTGGCACCTTTTGCGTGCGTAAAATGGAGGTAAATCTAAAGATAAAGAGTTTTTACCTTGGATAAGGAAGGAGGAAGGCGCGTCTCCAGTGCCAGGGCACTAAAACACTGCGGACGGGTAACTTCTTCAGGCAAATCAAGAGAAGGTAAAGAAGATCCATGAGGCGGACGGAGCGTTTCCACTGAGCCTCCTCTCTCTCCCCTCGCAGTGCTCCCTGCGCTGCATCTAGTTGCGCTCAGCAGCGGACCTAATAGAGCGCTAATCACGTTATCCCGGGCGCTGCCGTGTTACTGTCTGCGTGTGGAGTTTCTCTCCTCACTGTTCACCAGAGCGCCACTCCCTCTTCTTATAGCCCGCACGCTGCAAAAAGTGTCCCGCTCGCCGGGTCCCCGTGCGCGCGTGCGTCCGCAGGAGTGTCAACACTGGCACGCTGCCCCTTCTTGTTTGTCTGACAACAGGCGCATCAGCTGGAGAGGCGTTTTAAATGACAGGAGAGGAGGTCATATTACTATTTAAGAAAGCCTTTAAACACGTGGATATGTAGAAACTAAACACATTAAGATAGATCAAAAATACATTTAAACCGATTAAACGCGGCAAAGAAATCTTAAAACACTTATATAAACTTTATCTATCAGATACATCAGCCTATAATAAATAGAATTAATATTCCAGCTTTTCATATCTTTGAAATGAAGTTAAATGTAAAAACACAAAAGCGTTTTAATATGCCTCACATTTACCTAGATGTCTCAGAAAAAAAGTATAAAGCTATTAAACATTGGATATGTAAATAAATAATTAAAATGCATCATGATCATTTCATCCTGAAGAGGTAAACCACATCACTAGAATGTATTTTCATAAATATATTCCCTTTCAAAAGTGTGTATGTGACATAAAAGCTGTTTCACAACAAGCAGTTGATTCAGTAAGAAGTTAGAAATATTATTTACTGTAATTAGATATTAAAATAAATAAAAGTAAGAGCTTTAAATACCAAAATAATAATTAAGAATGAACTGAACCTGTTTTTTAAGGCAGGCATTTTGTTGTAATGCAGCTGGAGCTTAACTACACTGTTACTAAGCAGCAGCCAGAGCTACACCACTTGAACATCAGCACAGGTTCAATTCTATTTTTAATGCTTTATCAATCCTAAAAGAAAGCCAAATATCCAGATGTATATTTTATTTTTCAGCCATCATTGTATCAATGGAGAAAAAAAAAAGAAAAACATGACCACCCCTGACAGTGTGACTATAGACTAATATGGGGAATCTTGAAGATGCTCATTTGTTCTCAGTCTGCAAGGATGTATTGCAAGAAAAAAAAATACAGAAATACTTTGTGTCATCATGCATTATCCTAAAGATACATATTAGGATTTAAAAAATAAAAAACACCGCAAAATAAAATCAAGTTACACAGAATGTGAAATAATAAACTGTTCCTTGTTTCCATATCCTGCTGGTTCTTTCACTCAGAGGCAACAGCAGTAATATTTACATACCACCACATTATGCAGAAGAGCCTGAGGTCACCTTTCTGCAATCATGGACATAACATCCAAATATTTTAAGCATTTAATGTCACTATTTTGTAGCTTCTGATACATTTTCAAATAGCTGACGTGATGGTTGAAGTGTGAAATATATATGTTTATTTTTGTTAGACAGCTACATGATCAAATAGACCTGTAAAAGAAATGTCTTAGGGTTCATTTTGTGATTAAAATAAAGATTTAATAGGTGATCGGTAACATCTAGGAAGATGTGATTAATGTGTGTTGATTTCTTTCTCTTTTTTTTCTATTAAGTCCACTCTGAGGAAAGACAAGCTGATCTAGTGCGGTTGCTGTTCCATGTCACGGTGTCCTAAAAACTGGAACCCATTCTTACCAGGAAAATTCTGCGGTGTTGCATTTCTCCTCCAGAGTTTGAATAACTCCTGCAGGGAGGACATGAAGAAGACTAAGTGTGAAGGCAGGGTGTAAGCACTGCATGTCTCAGACAGATTGGGCGTGTGCTGTGTGGAAATGCTGCCAGTCTCTCACCATTTCTGTTGCCATCCTTCTAAAGGTCTGCAAATACCATGGGGGTAAGTGGGACTTCATATGTTTATATTGATTAAGCCGTATTCAGATGGTCCAAAAAGCAATACAAATGTCATAGGATTACAATGCAACATGTTCTAGTGCAGGGTCTTATTTATTTAAGGCTTTCATATGTTATCTTTAGTTGTTGCACTGGGTACAACAATGAACCCCCACCACCATAGAATAATCACTAGTTCTGAAAATGTTAACTAAGGCCCCGTCCACACGAAGTCAAAACGAACACGAAACGCTAATATTTCCAGAACATTTGTCGTAAAGACGGAGACGTAAAATGAATGTGATCGTCCACACGAATGCATGAAAACGCTGCAAAATGTATGCCAGGCCTGTAAGTGGCGCTGTCATGCCAAAGCAAAAATAGGCGACAAAATGTTGGGCATGCGCAGTAATATTTATACATGGTTGCCCTGCGGGTCCATTTTCGTGGTTCAGTCAAATTCAGGTGCTGAACTATGTCGTCGATATTGCTCTGTTCTTCCTGGAGATATTCCAGAAGAAGAAGATTCTGTTGTAAGCCCGACAGCAGGGTGAGTAGCATTAGCAGCAACCATTCAACACAGTACGGCGCCATTGTTGTTGTGATACTGTGTCGCGCATGCGTGTTTAGAGGCGACGCTATGACGCATGCGTGTAAAAAAAAAATGTGGTTAGAGCTTAAAGATGGAAACGCGAAAACGGCGTTTCAGAATCTTCCCACTCTGAAGGCTGAATAAAAAAAAGATCGTTTACAGACCCCCAAAACGCCGGCTTCGTATGGATGAGAGGCTGGTTTGGTGAAAAATTTGTGCGTTTAGGCCAGGGTTCGGCTTCGTGTGGACGGGGCCTAAGTCATTTTTAACCTAAACAGTTTTTGCAGCAAACAACCAGTGGACATAAACTTTATTGCACCCTGTTGCCTTCTTTTAGCAATACTGACTCACACTTCAGCAGCCTTACCTTTCACTTTAACAAACTCCAACATTCATATTTCATTCCGAGCGCTACTCATGTCTTATCCCTCTTGGAATTCAATATTATATTGAGTTTATTTTTCTTTTGCACTTGACCTTCGACTTTTCCTCTTTCTTTTTATACCTATGTTGGGAGTTGCTTTGATCTATTACTTCCTTGTTTCCTTATAGCACAAATACACAATTTTGTTGCTCCCATCACTGGGTCTTGTTATGGTGAATACTCAAAACTCTGAAGTAGAACAAAGTGAAAACCACAGAAAATGTAATATATGAAGCCATTAGGATGCCATAACTGATTCAGAAACCTTGTGTATGCAACCAGAACAAGCTACTGTCTTAGACATTTCTAAAGCCATATTACATCCCTGGGCCCCTTTAACTCTTCACAGCATAACTGCAATAAGGTCTAAGAAACATTTCCCTGAGATTTTGGACCATATTGACAGGTAGTTTTATGCACAGTTTGCAGACTTGTCAGCTGTTACAGCAGTCTAGCACTCAGAAATTCTCTGAGTGCGAAGGGGAAGACTGACTAATTTAATTTCACAAGTGGAGCATTACTGCTTTTTGCTATAGGGCTCCGACTGAGATATGAACTTTATTAGAATTGCTTGTGGATTATTCTAAATGCATTAAACAGTAGATGGAAGTGAAGGGAAAATGTAAACGAAAAGGGGAAGAGGTGAGATAAAACGTTAAAAGGGAGAAATAAACATAGGAAAGAAAAAAGATAAGAATCTGAGATAACCCTATGAATTTTCTCATACAGCTGCAGAAAGAGAGAAATCAAAAGAAAGAAATACGGGGGAAAACAACAATAACAATTTCACTTACAAGTACATGCTACTAATTAACATTAGCTGTACTTCATTATGTAGAGTTAATCTGTAAGCACTTGGATTCAAACACCTGTGGTTAAACGTGTGTGCTAAATCGTGTTTCCACAATTTCTCTACTTGTCTTCAGTGAAGTAGTCAAATTTATTCTTTAACGTTATTTAGATATTGGCCGTTGTCTCCTGTCTGCCTGATAAACATGTTTAAGCGTTGATTAGATTTGTCCAATCTAATTTCTTTATGATAAATTTCTCTGTTGTGTATGGTTCTATATCTGCCAGCCACTCTAAGGAGTGGAAAAGAGTATCCCGATCTGAATCTAACAGAGCACCTCTAGATGAAGCAAAAGATTGGGGTGATGGTAAAGACGCCTACCAGCCTTATAAACTTCATCAGCATAATTAAGCATGAAACTATATGTGGCACCATGACAGTGAATTTACTTACTATATAAGGGTATCCATTGTAAAAGGGTGCTTAAATGCGAATAAACATATTTCCTTTAAATATTGAAAAATAAAATAAACTGTGATGTAAAATTTTATCAAAATGTAAATAGATTATTGAAAAATTTCAACTGATATCATTTTACGTCTTTATTTTAAGAGATTTGTGTCTCATTTTAACTCCATAAATTATTAAAAATAAATATTAAATCAAATATTTGACTGAAATAAAAAATAAATACAAATCAGCTATGTGCAAAATAACTGTAAACTTTACTCCAAGTCTTCAAACGTGCCAAAACTTTCCCCCAAAATTGCTAAAGTAGTGTGCCATGGTAAGTCCACTAATCATTTAAATTTAATTTAATGTGATAATGAGCATCTAAAGCGTGCAAAATGCTCTCGACATTCTGAATTTAGGACTGTCATCTCCAATGTCACCTCAATGTTTGGATATCTGCTTCAAGTTTTAAGCGCCTTTTTGGCCGTGTGACGTGACGCACACCTGTTCCCACGGAAACTGAAAGGTTTTACGCACCGACCCTGCTCACCCCTCCCACAGCAGCAGCGATAAGTGACTAGAAGGCCCTCTAGCTGAAAACACAGCTTTAATGGATTATTAGAAATTCAGCCGCCTCTCTGATGAACCGCTGCTGCAGATAGGATTTCACAGACGGCTTTTAGCTGAAGCGCTGAATATTCAGATCGCCCACTTCCATTAAACCCAGGGGGGAGAAAATGGAGACAGAGATCATGTCAGGCTGATGCATCCCAGGATGGTTCTCTGTGTTCAGGAGCCGGTGTGGCAGACTGTTTGTGGACAAACAGCCACGCGTGGAGACGCTGGTGGATGCGTGGGGGCGCGGGCGAAGCGCATGGATACAGTGACACCTGTCGTCTCCAACCAGAGCCGCTGAGCTGCGGCTGCAGGAGCCCGGCAGAGAAAAAGCATCCCTACAGACGGATGAAGTGGAGGCCTGAAGCTGTACAAACTGAGCACAGATCAGAAATACAATTTATTCAAATTATAAACATACT